AAAAAAAAAAACAAAGCAGAAAGCATACATAATTCCGATCAATGAAAGCTATCGAGAGAAAACTGAAAAAAAGAAAATCTTTTTTTTTTTTCTCGGCAAATTTTCACACAAAAATACATATATAATATATATTCCCCTGAAATTCAAAGCGCAGGAGCGACATGCAGACTGGTTCGCACTTCGGACGGGAACTATTAAGACAGAAAGACATCGGGAAGAGTCGAAAAATTCTCCAGAAAACCTGGGGAAAAAAAGAACCTCAAGCCTCAAAAAAAAACCATAAAAACGATGAATCTAGGTTTACAAGAAAATGTTTGAAAGTCTCATGAAAAATGCGAAAAACCTCAGACAGATGAGCACCACTGACCACTACTTATACACACCGCACCATTGACAATCACTGTCAATTCTGAACAAAAACGTCCGAATTCTGAATTACAGATTAAAAAAACCGAAGATTCTGGGCCTAGAAGTTTGAAAATTCTTACGAAATCAGCAAGGAACAGAAATTTTTAAAAAATACTTCTCTTCAGCACTTTTTTCAGCCCCACATCAACTATTACTATTGAAAAAGACCCGTAAAAAATTGTCGTATTTAAAAAAAAAAACTTCAAAATCACCGCTGTCCAAAAAATGTTGACAGAATCGGATGAGAAATGATAATAATAATATAAGCGCTGGGAAAAAAACCAAATATGCAAAGAAAAATGCTCCAGTGGGTTTATCAAAAAAAAAAAACTTCCAAAATCTTCGTTTGTTAAACAAACGCACCGTATGAAAAACTGATTTATGCATTCTTTATTACAGGTACTAGAAAAATTATTAAAAAAAAAACTTGCAGAGAAATCAGTGGGAAAAAAGAAAGGCAGTTGACCAAAAAAAAAATGTTCGGGATTCATAAAAATCGATCACAGGAATATTTCCACAAACAGGAGCTGGGGGAAAAAACTTCACCCATTCAAGGAACACCGGTAAAAACCGATAGTTTAATTTTCCAGGCATATTTTTTTTATTTCTTTTTTTTTCAAGCCAAAATACACAGATACAATAATACACAAAAATCAGTCCTTCATATCCATTTTTTTGGCTCAGATATAATAAAAATCCAAAAATTTACCCGCATAATATTGGTGAAAAATACAAACAGGCCCAATTTACAGGCTCACAGGGAAATGGGCCTAGCAAAAAAATACACCCAAAATGTCGGCGCATTTTGACACCAATTCAGTGATTTAGACAAAAATTCAAACAAACACATAAATTCATCAAATATCCAGTACATCAAACACATATCCAGTACTTTTATCATCATCATCATAAATCCTAAAAGACTTATGATTACAATTCATCTCTGCATGAAAGTTTAATAAATACTTTGGTAAACAATGTGCTCTGTAATTGATGCGGTAAAATTTCGCGCAAAAATTCGGTCAAAATCAAGAAATTCACCGTATTCCTCTCCATTTTAGATCTTTTCGCTTTTTATATAAACTATACAACCCTCGCTTCTGCAAAACCGGGCCCCTCCCTCTCCCCTCCCCCTCCTCCCCTCTTCCCCCTCCTCCCCTCTTCCCCATAATTCCAAGTAAATACAGACATCTCAATCCGCATCAAAGGAACATATTCCGAAAATCAGTTTTACACTTTTTCCAGCAAGCACAATACAAAAGGGTGAAGGGAGGGGAGGGGGGAGGGGTGAGAAAAAAATCTTTTAAATTCATGGAGAAGGAGGAATGTCCCGCAGCTTTTTTTCGCAGATTACGCCGGCAAGGCATTCATAATCAATGCTTTCGCGCCTTCCGGGATTGAATCGGGGAATCTGACGTCAAATTCGACAATCAAATCACCCCTTCGTCCAGCCATCTTCGGATTTGGCAATCCCTGTCCAGTTAATCTGAAAAAAAAACACTTCATTAATCATAAAAAATAATGAAAAACATAAAAAGGAACAAATGACGAAGACAAAATTCCCCTTCCCCCTTCTCTCTCTCTCCCACATCCTCTGCAGAATGGATTCTATCTATTGCACTCAAAGTCAAATTTTTAATTCAATTTTTGTACCTCCTAAAAAAACTAAGATTCCCAAGTCTTTTTCCGCTCGAATTTTGCTTAAAATGCAAGGTAAAGGTGCTTTGACTTCCTGTTGTTCTACTCAGAAAATCAACAGAACGAGTCCACCAAAACAAATTTCAAGTTCAAATCAATGACTGAAACCTTCCAACAGGTCACGACACTTCATTGCAACATACTTGGAAAACTTGAAAAACCCCGGGAAGTCCGAGAATTTTGAAGAAAAATCTGAAATCCTAGTAAAATAACCAAAAAAAAAATCAAAAATTATACCGCCTAGTGGTGTTCGGTTTGACAACGTCGCTGATCCGTAGTGGATACGTTGTTCCGTCTAGCGTCGGTACTTGAATTGATACTCCACAGAGTGCATCACGTAACGAAATTCGGTGAATGTACCGGATGTCTGCACCTTCACGCTGAAAAACCTTAGTTCTGCATATGCCGCCTAACTATGAGGCATCAGATAGGGCTAACATATTGTAAAATACGGACTTCTGCTTCATACTATTTAAGGTTAATTGAAAATTTGTTAGAAAATGTAGAAATGGATGATTGAAAAGGTCAAAAAAGAGTAAAAAAGGGGAAAGATGTAAAAAGAACTAATAAATTAGATAAGAAACGTTTCGGTCCATTAAGTCGTATACATTTCTTACCACTACCACAGTTAGACCTCGTCAGTATTACATCTACATCATCTCCTGGTCGGCAAAATACTTCACCCTGTTTTATGCAGGAAAATCGATAACTCGGGAACCAAAAAAGCTGAGGGGCTGAAATTTTAAGGGGATATTCCTAGCCAATCGTGCCACAGGAAACGCAAAGTTTCGAGATGAGGAGCCGATGTGCTTTCGTCTGGAGAACCGTTATGGTAATCCCTCGTAATCCCTCACCATATAAAAGACCGGAATGTCAGCAAAGTTGGAGGTACTAGCAAACAATTTAGCACTGGTCACAAAGCAAAAATGGAAAAGTTGCATTAGCCGGAGAATCAAAATATGACCCAGAAACAACAATTATCTACCCCACATCCATTAAAACGTACGTGGAAAAGCTGTACTGCCTCCCCTCCCCTCCCCCATTTCCAACACCACCCTCATTTACATAGCCTTCAGGATCCTTTGCTGCAGTGGGGTAAGGACACCCGAAAAAATCGTCCGCAAACCATGTATGGCGCAGCTCCTCCCCCCACAACTTCTTTTTTTGCCAAATTTCACTAATTTTACAAATATTCCACCCTTCTGTATAAACTATAAAGGTATATTATGGGATGGATTTTATGAATGCTACTACTGTACCTTGAATTTTGGGTGATGCTTGTCCTTGATAACAAAGACGATATCGGCCGGTACACGCCCTGGATGTTGGTCACCTTCTTTCGGGAATGTAATTTTTGTGCCACTCTTCCACCCGGGCTTGATGTTGATTGTAAGCACCTTATCTTCGATACGCGTCGACTGTCCATCAGGGCCCAAAACTTTCCTGAAAATTCAAAATTTTATAATTTTCAGGATACTTACCATGCGTTTATTTTGGCAAAATAAACTAATCCGAGGAATTAATCAGCCTTTGCATTCTCATGAAAACCTCAAAAACTACAATCGTCCACTGATAAGTGTATCCTGTCCATGCCAAAAATACGAAAATCACCCAAACTTTAAAATACACAAAAATCTCAAGCGCCAAAAATCTTTAGCGAGAAAGAAACCGCTCGACCTGTACGAAAGCAACGCTTTCACGCACTCAGCCCCCTTTTTTTCCAACACAAACAAGCATTTCGATAGCGAATCCGCAGGATTTGTGTGAGATAATGTCAGAATTAAAAAAAAAGCTCCTTTTTTTCCTACTTATTCCAGGAGAGCACACAAAAATGAGTCAAACTTAACTTAATAAACACTAAAAACTAAATTAAAAAAAAAGATATCCAATTACCTAGTGATTTTCATCTTTTTCGTGGTGCCCTTATAAATATCCTCTAGTGATACCGGCAGTTCGTGCTGTACCACCGGATCTTGACGCTGCCGACGCCCATGACCGCCTAGACCAAATGGCATTCCTGCAAAATCTTCGATTTTTTTTTACCTCCGTAGCTTTTCAGAAAACTTTCGATGGAAAATACCAGCAGAAAAGAAAAACGTAGTATTTTCGGGATTTAATTCCAAGAAATAATTGATGCGGTGAATAAAAATCACAATTTTACTAAAAATTTCATAATAAAACCGTGACCAACCGGCAAATTCTGGGCAGTTTCTACATCGCTGAGAATGTCAAAGGGCAGTAATTTCGGTATACTGCACAAATGCGATCGTATTTACTCCCCCAAGAGCTAGAGCACACGGTTTTGACCCTCTGATCTTTATCAATTTATCTACACAAAACACTAATGGTGGCAAAAAAAGCACTAGAATCTACTCGAACAATTTAAAGATTCCAGTAAAACTAAAATCCCGCGCTAAATTTAATCCCTCTTTTTGTGAATATATAGGTCAAGTGAACATATCCTCAGCCATTATCGCATTTTCAATATTCTTCGAATCGTGATGTGTTATCTTGTGCAGTTGCACTACTACGCGTAAACTAATCCAGAACTGATGCAGGACTGGACCACGTTTGCCGGC